AATGACTTTCCCTTCTTGCAAACCACTAGAAATGGGGCATTTAACTTCCTAAAAGACTTTTGAAAATCCTACCCATAATGTTTACTCTAATATTGAAGCTAAATGTATCCATTCTTAATGGTCACTCCACAGTTGTCTGTTGTGCTCTCGGAATGAATGGTTCTTTCCTCTCTTGCAGCTAATACCCCATGCATATTTATATGAAATCATGTTCCCCTTTAAATGCTGTTGATTTTGGCTCAATAAGTGATTCTTTAGTTTAACCTGTGCTTGTAGGTTGTTTTCTCAAGGCTTTGTATTGTTTGTAATTCCCTTATTATTTTCTGTGTCTTTTTGCATTTGCAAAAAAAAAAAAAACCACCAACCATATATATATGCATTTTTCCAGGTTTTGCTTTATGAGTGGATTGTCCAGTAAAGAATGCATCATTTGCTGTCCTCTGGGAGATCCTCCTAGGTGGGCTGCCTGTGCCAGACTAGATTTGGCCTTGCTCCCAGTTACCTTTTGTTATGAACTCTGGCAGGACTTGCTCCTGCATCGGTTTAATTCAGCAGAAAGGTTTTCCCTGAGTTTGCTATACATCATTACTTCTGGACTGAGGAGGACGAAAAGAGCTGCAGGGATGAAGTGCATTAATGGGCACGAGTCATTTAAAGACAACTCTCAATATTACACAGCAAGGTGGGTGCACACAAGGTGCTAAACAGCCCTTCAGCAAGTTTATATTGGGACACCCCTCAAAGGGGAATTTGCTGCCCTTTTAAAAATAGGAGGAGTCTGTAGGAAAGTTGAGAAGTTAATCCAACTCCCCCGAGTCTCAGTCAAGGTTGAAATGGCGCTGAAAACAGCGGGTTTATTTCCAGCCACTGTGCCATAAAGGCTTCTTTTTGCTTTTGGTAGTTTTGGTGTGTTCCTATTTTCACATTTTAATAAAAATGAGGACAGTTCTAGATAAACTTCACAGAAGCAGAGATTTCAAACTACATCCTTCAGTTGATGGAAATTTTGAACATTGTTAATTTATAAGAAAATGTAGTAAAATTAATAGCATTCTAAGATGTCAAGCTATGCTTTTCTGTGTTGCTCCATAAATGTGCTTTTGTGGAAAAAAAATTTCCACTACATACTTCTTTCTTGAAAATCCACCACAGTCTTTTCTCCAAGTGAGCCTTTAAAAATATGTGCTCTAAACACCTGCTTGCTTTTCTCTCTGGCTGGTGGGGAAGAAAATGCTTGGTTGACAGTAGAGTTTACAGTGAACAATCACGTGGCAATGCAATACCTGCTTATGGCCCTCTTTCTCCATTCATGTGAAAAATTTCAAGCTCTCTTTATTGATGAAATGGGGGGGGGGAGAATGTCAGAATGGCAAGCAAGATGGATTCTGCATTCATGCTTGCCCATAGGCTGTTAAAATGGACCAAAACTGCCCCTGTTGATTGTGAATCTCATTTTCCAATAAAAGGAAAAATTGTTTGCTGTAATTTACAAGATGATTTGTGAGATAACACCACTATAGTAATTTTAACTGTTACATATCAAGTGTCAGACAGAGCACGTTAATATTTGTACTGTTTACTGTAGTGGTGAAGCAAAGCAAGGGTGAGTATCTCAAAAGTGTGGGCAAATTAATTATTCAAAAGCATGTGAAACATAGTCCACTTCCACTCAGGTGGCACAAAATCATACCTGCAAATGAAGCAAAGAGTAAGAACTAGGCTGAAAGGTGTGGGAGGGATGAGGAACAACGTGAGTGAGAAATTATGCTGAATAAAGCCCAAATGTATTCTTGTTAGTATAACCAATGTGCACTTTTGCTTTTTCTTTTCTTTTTTTTTTTTTTAAATCCGTGTTCTTCCTTCATCAGCCCTTCAGGTTTGGCACTTTGACTGCAAAGCCACAACTACCCGATTTCCACTGTATTTATTCCTTTCTCTTGGGACTGTGGGGAACACTGTTCTTCCAAAAAGCACATCACCACATGTGGTGAACGGTCTGTGTGTGCAGCCTTTGGTCTGTGTGAGCCATTTGACAGTGTGTATTTTTAATTAACTTCTCTGCTGTGCCTGGGGGAGGTTGCGACTCGTACTGGAGGTCAGATCATTGTTCTCACACTGGATCTGCAGGAGATGTTACTCTCTAGGAACCCCGTGTTGGTGAAGACTGTTTGGAAATCCAGCCATTTAGCTCGTTTGCAATTTTTGCTGAGAAATTCTGTCACGTTTGTTCATGATTATGGGTGCAAATCTCTTCAATGCAGTTCAAATCCACTGAAATCAGTGGAGTTAGCTACTACTACGAAGATGGATAAAAAGTAGAGATACATCTTATGCCTGTATAAAAAAATCATCCATAAAAGCTGTTTTAAAAGAAAAAAAAGGTGGTATGAGATACAGTCTGATTGAAATGGGATCAAGCTTGGAAAAGGGACAGGACCTGATCCTGTGTGTGATTCCAGGCATGTGCCAAGACAAAGAGACTGCTGTGCGTCTTCCACGGAAAGACCCAGGGTGTGCTGCAGTAATTGTGCCAGATAGGAACAAGTCAGGTGCTTTGTAGGTTCAGGTGCCGGTCTGTTCTGCCAGGTGTGTTTGCTGGCAAAAGGTCACCCTGAATCGATACCTTTTATCTCAGTGGTAGTAATTTGTAAATTAGTTTGTTTTTTTTTCTTGTTAACTGCATGATTAGTTTAGGATGATTAGGTGAAATGCGATGTCCGTTTTGGGTACTATTCCTCTTAATTAGTAATTACATTTTTAAAATAGCAACTGTTTCTTATTAATACAGCCGGGCTATCAGTGTCTGTGAAGTTTGGAGGCTTTTGAGGAGCAGACAATGAGTTGTGGCTTAAGGGGCTGGAATGTGTAAGGTCTGTCAGAGTGTTTTATGGAGAGCTGTGAAAATGGAAACTGTACTTGTTGCTTGCAGATTATTCTTATATTCCTTTTACAGCAAGGCACACCCATTCTTACAAATATAATTGTGGCTCTTTTTGTGTAGATTTAACACAGACAAATAAAGCATACAAGTTGAAGCTGGAAAGTGAAGTCAAGCTTTGCTTTTGCACTGAGCACTGCATTTGGATAGACCTACTTTCAACTCACAGGCAACAGCTTCATACAAAATAGGTTATTTAAAAAAAAATCTTTATGCCAAGACAAGGTCTACATCAGTAACATAGCAACTGTAGGTACAAAACTTAGTTTTTCTCAGAAAAATGGCGAGCAAATAAGCCATTAACATGCAAAGGGGACTTGTTAATTCCCAGTCTAATTACGTATACTAGCTGCATGAAAAACTGACTTGTGATGCTAACCCAAGTTATTCCAACCAAAAATCCTGCTTATTACTGCTACTCACATCATGAAAACGAAGACTGTAGTATTTAGATTTATCTAATTTAGCCAATATTTGAAAAAGTTAATTAACTGAAAATTTGAGTATAAATGTAAGAAAACACACAGAGCGTGGAAAGCTTGTGGTGAAATACTGTTCGTGACATTTTGAATATTTTGATTAAAGTATTAATTTTTATATTCTGTCATATACCTTCACAATTCTGTGTACTTGCGTTTGACAGGTTATCTAAGCTTGGACTTCGATAATCTGCATTTGTTGAAAAAAAAAAAAAACAAAAAAAAAAACCACCTGTGTAGTATTGCCGTAAATACATTTGATGGCATTCAAAGCTGGAGTATAGGGTTGCAATTGTACCTCCTGCAGCGAGGCTGGGGAGGCCCTGGAGCAGTTTGCTGAACTGTCAGGATCGTCTCCTTGGGGTTTTTTGTTTGGGTTTTTTTTGTAGTTTGTTTTTTTTGTTTATGCTTTGTATGTGTGCCTGGTTCCAGTCAAAGCCATATCTGTAATTCCTACCTGAAGTGTAATGAAATCTTCAGTTACAATGTTACAATAAATGAGCTCGCTTGTAGGAGTTCCTTTGGTTTATGGGAAAAAACCAATGCATCGCTCAGCTGATAGCAAGCAAGTGGCTGCTGTAACTGGAGGTATATCCTGCCCTATTATATATAAGTACAAGACCTAAGCTCATCTGTGGAACTGATGCAGGTGGGATGAGAACACGTTTCGCATGCCTTGGTTTTTAGCTGAGCAGAGCTAACCTTACAACTTGTGGATTCCTCAAAATATGTATCCCA